GAATAAGTTTTGACTGGGAGCTTCCCAGTGCAACCAGCCCCGTTGTCCTTGCAGGCTCTCCTGCAGCATCTTAATCTTGGCCAGACTTGGAAAAAGGTGCTTTAGGTAATGTAACCGTGCCCAACCACCCTGAGGCACTCTTAATTAAAAGCCCCGTGCTAGTTTCCTTCCTGTGCAGCCTGTGAGTGTTGGTGTCAAGATGGAGAAAAGCCTTCTTTCTCTTCCCCTGCACCTTCGTCTCCCTGGTGTACCGCAGGCAGACGGGTTTAGTTGGAAAAAGATGAGTTTGAAGGAGAAAGAAGACAGGCGGAGCAAAGGGGGCAGACAGATGGTTTTGGCAATGACTCTTTCACACATTGCAGATGTTTTGTAGGAAGAGAGAGCAATTCAGAAAGAGTATCTAAACAGCACGGATAAATTAAGGAACTTTTTTGCGTGTCATCGTCCTTGAAAGCTGGTGTGTTGCCCATTCGTTCGACATCTCTGTGTAAGAGGGTTGAGGTTGTAGCGGGGAGTCGCAGAGCTTTCCCCGGAGCCACAGATTACATTGGGCCTAAGCCAAAGATGCATTCAATATTGAACAGTCGTGAAACGGGTTTTACAGAGTTTGTGCTTACGTGTGAAATTCAAGGCAAGCGTGAAACAAGGGTGCGAAATGTAGCTGTGTTGTGTTTTCCTGACACGGCTACATTTTCAGCAAGTGTTCAATCAGGCGGCCCGTCAGTTATAATCTCATGAGTTTAGCCTCTGGAGACAATGGCCCGAGTTTTGGAGGAAGCTAAACGATGGACACAGCTTCTGGGTCGAATGGAGTTGCTTTCTTTTGACGTGGCCAGTAGGGGGCGACCTTTCTGGTTCTGCAAAGAAGTCTGTTTGAATCGAGGTCTATGACAAAATTAGCCTACTTCTCCTTTGACTTATGACCTCAGTAAAAACGCTTCTGATGAGCGCCATGTTTCTCTGTTACATGATCTTCACTTTCTGAGTAAAGCAGACGATAAAGGATGGCGCGCTTTAAAGTGTCGCTGCTTTCTGATAGATGAGTCGGTACCTTATGAGCTTGCAGTGTCGTGTCGGTGCCTTTTTTAAAATTGTGCACAATATAAAATATATACCAAGTTATACTGAAATTAGTGCTGATTTGCAAGTGAATAAAAGTGAATATTCTTTTTCAGAGATCCGATTGCTCTTTGTGTAAAGCTCTACATCCACACTGAAACACTAAAACACTAAAGCAAAGGCAAAATGAGCTTTTTTCCTGGTTCTTCTTTGGTCAGCAGTTATTTTGCCTCTTGTACAGTGTAGATGAACAAAGCTTGCCTTGTGGCATATTGCATCCCTACAGTTTAGCTGCTGGTCTGCAGATGTTAGTCCCATCAAAGACGGCGTGAGTCTCAGTCTTTTAGAGTGATGTCACAGTTTAAGGTATAGAATTATTTTACTGCAGATATGAGGCATATAATGGTCCGAGTGACACTTCCTAAATGTCACCGAGTGTTTAAAGGACAGCTGATAATGAAAGCTGAGGAGCTGGCTCCTGGCCTGGGCTATGACTAACTCCTGGTGTCACGGGTTGATTGAGTGTGTGTGTGTGTGTGAGGAGAGATGGCTTGCTGGGCCACATGACCGTTAGCCTGTAACAGGACTGCATGCGGCTCTCAGGAGTCTCCTTTAGACACACGATGCACCTCCTGAAATCAATTGGAGCTGCAGTGGGAACCGCGGGACGGTTTTATACTGGGCCGTGAAACTGGTTTGTTTTTTACGCCTGATGTTTCTGGAACAAACAGCTGGAAGGCAGTTCAGCACTGCCATCTTTATCCACATGAGGTTAAACTCTGAGAGAACTGAGACCGGACTACAATGTGGTCACCATATCAGGTTTTCACCTCGTTGATCTTTTGAAAGAATTCACTCTGTAACTATAGAAATCAGTCAAATTCACCTTCAACTTTATGTACGGTGTGTTTGGCAGCCCAGTTTAATTCAAAATAAAAGCACAAAAAAGGTGGAGACACAATTATTTCTGATATTTTCACATTTTATTTTTATATAATAATGATCTGATAACCAATTTGGAGTTGAGTGGATTATATGCACCAAATACCTCATTTAAAAAAGTTGAATTAAAC